AGGGAAAAAAAGTGCGATGCTGAGTGAGATGGGAATCGTGATTTTTTACCTGAAAAAGCACATGCAAAAAATCTGTTTTCTCCGTTTTCGTTCATCCCCTCCCCCCGTTCCTTCCACTTTTGGCGAAAGTAACGCGCCGACGACTTTTGCCCGAGGAAAGTTGCTATCTCCGTTTATTGCAGGCTTATCGATATGCCGCGAAGAAGGTCAAGCCGTCCGAGCGGCACGTCTCTGCAATTCCAGTTCATCGAACCATCATCGCGTAAGTATTTAAAATTATTTTATTTTACTTTAAAAATTATTTTAAAATTTAAAAATTTATTTTACTTTTCACACTTTCTTTAGTAGTGCTCGCTCAGATTTTTTCCCAAATTTTTGTTACCACTTTTGTATTTTCTCGATTATTCTGTCCTGAAAATTGCCCATTAACGCGGGGGAAATGGACGCTTCACCTCATTCCGAGAGCTCTTTCCCCCTCCCTTGATTCTACTGAGGCCCGTTGGCTGTAGTGAGAGAGAGTCACTTATACTTCATTTTTTCTCGAAAATCTCCGGAATCTCTTCATCATCGACACTCAAACTACGTCCTCAGTCCAGTTTTCGAGGATTGTGACAAGCCATGTGGAGCACTGAGCTTAAAAATTTGCATTGTTTTCATACATCTTTTTATTGCTGTATTCTTTTTTATGCTTTTTTTGCATTTATACCAGGCTGGAACGGGGTGAACCCGTGCGATCATGCGTTTTTGCATCGGACTTAAAGTACTCAGGCCATTGACTGCATGAATGGCTTTGCTTTACACCTACCTTTTGCGGCCATTAGCATAAATCACCATAAATTTTGCAAAGTAATTGTACAGTTTCCAATTAACAGTCGTTTTTTAAAAGTAACCTAGTTGTTCAGTAAGAATTTTTTTTTCCGGGATTTTTAAATGACCGTACGTAAGAATCAAGCATACCTCAAGATTGAATTTGAAATACTTATGTTCTACTTGGATAGGGGATATTCCCTCAAAATTTCAGCTTTTCTGCCTTTCTGATTGCCAAGTTAGCGACATTCCCGCCAAAACCTTCATATACCCGTACAGGGGTACTCCACGTGTCTGGAAAGTTGAATTCGAAATTTTTAAACTGCACTTGAGCAGGGAATATCCCCTTAAAATTTTAGCCTTCCAGCTCTTGTGGTTGCCGAATTAGTAATTTTCCTTCAGAAACTTTCATACGCCCTTATGTGAGTACCACGCATGGTTTGGTTCTGAACTTGAAACATTTGAGTTGTATTTGGATAGGGGACATTCCCCCAAAATTTAAGCTTTATAGCTTTCCTGGTAATTTTCTCCCTAAAACTTTCATACGCCCTTACTTCAGTACCATGCATACCAGGGGGGCTGAATTTGAAATATTTGAGTAGTGCTTGGATAGGGAACATTCCCCCAGAATTTCAGCTTTCTAGCTTTTCTGGTACCCGAGTTAGCAATTTCCCTCCTAAAACTTTCATACGCTCTTACGTGAGTACCACGTGTACCTGGAGGCTGGATTTGAAATCTTTAGCTAGTACATGCACAGAGAATATCCGTACAAAGTTTCAGCCCTGAGCTCATGTGGTTCCCGAGATCGCTTTCCCACCAAAAGATTTGCATATTTCTTTAAGGCTTCCGTAAGCGGCACGCAGGTGTCCGAGGGGGATGAG